CGACTCATAGGAATCCCCCGAATAAAACGGACCAAACGGACATTTGTCCGTCTGTCCGATCGGACGTGTCGAACTGCTTCCATCAAGGAGTTTCCAATGAATGGTCTCCAAGAGAGCAATTTCAACAGTAGGAGTGAGGCACCCGGACCTAAGGTTGTAGTGGAACCTTTATGCTGCCAGGCTTCAGCAGGGGTGTTGTCGTGTGAAGATTGGATGGTGTGCTCTCGGAGATCGAAGTGTGTAGTGAGGACATCATGATGGGTCACTGTTGCAGCCAACTCTAAGTCGCTATTAGTAATATCTCCAGCAGGATTTTGAAATGAGACCAGACGTTTTCGAATGTCATCGTGAAACGGCGCTCTCCATTCAATAGCATCCAAAACATCTGTTGTGTTGATGAATGCAATGCCTCCCATTCCCGCGCCGGCCGCATCCGTGGTACCAACAACTGAGGGTGTCCGTGGGACCAGTTCCGCAATTCGGGTTGGGCGGTGTGGCAAGGTGGCCGCCAGGGTGCGAAAGTCATTGATGAAGTGGTGCTCATTCTTGGTAAGCCGCAGTCGCTTCTTTGATTCCGTTTGGAAGGCATGTTGAAGGGTACCGAACAAACCACGCGCGCCTGGGATGCCAATGACCATGGAGCGTAGTTCTCCCAAGAACTTGTGCCACAGCTTGACGCTTATTCTCCTTTGAGTTGGGGATATGTCGGCAAGGATGGCATCCAGTCATTCTTGTTGCCGTTGTGGTAGTGTGATTGTTTGGGCGACCGTATCGATTATCCAACCTAGAACTGTCTTCAGGGTACTCCAGTTCCCTTCACCTTTCTTAAGCTTCTTTACTGATGCTGGGTCCTGTCGGTTTGGATTGTCAGATGGTGACAGTGGTTGAAAGACGGAGTCCAGCACATGGAGCAAAGTCCTCATTGTATTGCGACGAGTCGGTTCATCTCCTTGGACCGCAGCAATGAAGTCGTCCACGTAGATATCGGCATATTTCATGGGGCGTTTGTAGTGTGGATGATGTGGTGTGGTTGCCGGCACTGCCAGGGTGACTGGAGTGGGTGCTGCACTTGTTGGAACATGAGCCACCGTGGGTTTGGTATAAAAGGCAATGTCCTCCAATCGATGTGGTGGTTCTTTCTGGTTGCGTTGTAGCCGACGATTCATTAGGTCGGCTGCAGTTTTGGTGGCAGCCGAAAAATATGGTGGGCTATTGACCCATCCCATGGGTAGCACCATAGGGAAGGCGACCATTGGTTCCTCTCCTGGTGCTTGCGGTAGGAGAACAGCTAACTTAGGTATATCTCAAGCAGACAGCTGGATCCGGTAGAAGCCATCGGCAATATCAATCTTGGACAGGTAGACTGGTCCAAAGCTTGGGTCTGACAGTAAGATTCTTTGTAGTATGCGTTGCAAAGTGCGTCCAAACTGCATGGATTCAGATGGGGCCACTGGTAGGCATTCTTGATTGGTGAAGTAGAAGGAGAGGTCAACAATGAGCCGATCTTGTCGGTCGTGTTGTGGAACGCTCCCAAGGGGGTTGAGGTGTAGATTGGATAGATTCTTGACAATGGAATATGGCAAGACTGTCCAAAAGCCTTTGCTGATGAAGTCGATGAACTCCTCTTGTATGAAGCCGTTGTTCAGCTTGGCCGATGTGTGTGGGCCTCGTGAAATGGCTTTGTCAAGTTGTTCAGGTGTCCAAGGTTTCGTTGACATCGGCACCGGAGCTCCATGTTGATGTAGGTTAGCGAGGAGTTGACTGGCCGGGTGGTCCAGAGGATGGACATTGTTTGATGCGACACCCCGTTGTGTAACCACGAATTCCTCCCAGCAATCACAACGTTGGAATGCCTCCACGGATGCACGAATCAACTTACCTAATTCATCTCCAGCAATGTGCAGTTCTTGTGGACCAGTTGTGGTAGGGCTGCTAGGTGCGATTGTTGGGCTGGGTGTGGTTTGTGCACGGTTAGATGCAATCGGCGTTGTGATGGTTGGTTGGGAGTGGGACATAGTGTCATGAATATCAGACTGTTTAATAGTCACCACTGCTTGTTGGGATATGACGAAATATGAGTTTTTACGTTCCAAACGAAACTATTCAAGTACAAGGTTTTCGACACGTGCGATCGGATTTTGATCGTGCAAGATGTCGGGATTCGACGCAAGTATGCCGGACGCAAGTCTGTCGGACAATCTGTATCCACACAAACAGGAAAA